CAAACAAATACACATGGCCAAATCTTCCAAATATCCGAATATCCAAATATTCCTTACCTTTTGAGATCAACCTTCTTTTTATGTCTGGGTGTGTCCCGAGCTCCATAGGGAAAGTTTTTCAGGAAGTGCTGCTTAAAATCTCCAAGGTATTCTTTATGGAACCATGCATCCTACACAAAGACAAGTCATTTTTTAGTAAAACTTTTTTTTTCTCCAAAAACTGTGTGACATTTGTGCGCTCCTCATCTCACCAGTGCAGCTTGGTGCTCCTGCTGTGGTGCCAGTTTTCTCAGCAGCTGCAGAATAGACAACACCTGGAACATTACTGACATGGCATCTGGGGTGAGCAGGTGAGCGCCCTCTGTGCTGTTCCAGGGACAGTCACTGGTACTGGCTTCCACCCACACTTCTAGTAGAAGAGGCACCAGTGTGGCTGCAAAGGTCTGTACAGCCTCAGCTGAGTCCAGACCCTCTCCCGCTGCAGGACCAGGGTCCACCTCTGGTCTATATGGAAAGAGAACAAAATGAAGAATATGTTAAATATGAGATATAATTGTACTGAAACAAGGTTAATAATTTGTTATGTCACATACAACTATTCAAGAGTTTGGAATTGCTTGCAACTAAAACTTGATTTGGTATATTCAGCTGGCTGAGAGGACTATATTCCTGAATAGTATTTCATGCTTTTAGGTTGTAGAAAGTCCTCTTTACAAATAGATGTTTTATTTTTTATTAAGGGTTTAAAAAAAAGTTATGTTCTGTACATACACCAAACACTGGCTGTAGTGTGTAGACTGTAGTTTGTTTAATTGTTTCCTGAGTTTCTGGGCAACAGTAGTTTCTCTTACAATTAACAGCCTGTTATAACAGATGCCAGCCATGTTCCGTTAGCTGCAATCGGAAATTTCACCACTAGACGTAACTAAATCCTACACACTGGTCCTTTAAATGAGAATGTCAGAAATCACCAGTCATTGGTAAAATAAACTGGAAGCTTGGCATCAAAATCTGTGCAGATTTAAATAGGAACAGGTTCCTGTTTCAGTGCACAAGAATGCGTTTAACAAACTGGAATTAACAAGTGTGTTGCTTTCGTAAAGCTATTCTTAAATATTAGGAATACTACATTATTCTCCGCTGTCACGCAGCACTGTAGAAACATCGAATCAATGAAGTTTTATCAATGAATCATTATTCTTTTAGGGTCAAAATTGTTTCAAATACAAATAAAACATTTGGTGTCTGAATTACACAGTTGTATCCATGTTAAAACAGCCATTATTGAAGGAGAATAACATCAATATAACAGGACATTACAAACTTTTGAATGTCTCTCATTCATATTCCTTGTACTGTACCGGAGTCTAAAGGTGGACCGTGGCGTTGGTTTGGCCCCAGAATGCTCATACACCTTAACTTTGATTTTGCTGTAGGTGAGCTCTTCCCAGTTGAGATACAGAGGTGTAAGCCTGCCTTCGCCACTGGAGCCAAACACTCCTTCAGCCGGGACAAACATATCACCTTCCTCCACTGGTCTTTCCTCAACTACTGCCTGCAGAAAGCGTCCAAGCCTGAAGTACAAATGACACAAAACAAAGGGTTAGCAGCTAGAATTATAATTTAACTAATCTCTTCAGAATCAGTATGCACATGGCCTCCATACCTGAGGAGCACTGAGAGCCGCCACTGCTGGCTAGTCACAGCCCTGCTAGGGTTGACTGACAGCGCCCAGGTCCGTCCCTTAGCATCCTGAGCCTTTTTGGCTCCTCCACTGTTTTGCCTGTGAGAGATCAGCTCTAGGAAGTTTGTGAGGAGGACTGCAGGCCGCGCTGCTAGCAGAGCAGGGTAGTGATCCAGCAACACATCAAGGACCTTCATGGCGTCCTCATGGATGCCCGCCTCGATGTGGGTCATGGCACAAGACAGGTGGGCGCTGAGGAGAGGGAAAAATGGAGCCACTCGTTCTGCAGGCACAGACTGTGCAATGAACCTGGAAGCAGTGCACAGTTTGGGACAGATTAACGTTGACGTTCGAGAAAGAAACAAGGGTTCTTTTTACCTTATTGTTGTCTTTCTGTATCACAGCTGTGTCACTAACCTGAGCACACGCGTAGCTGCCACACGAACGTTGCCATCCTTGTCTGTGAAAACAGCCGCCACTTCAGAAAGCAGGCGAGAGAGATGCTGCTCTAACAGAGAGGGATTATGGGACAGCAACTCTCTCAAACCCAACAAGGCAGTATGTTTCACATTGGCGTTGTAGTGGTGCAGCTGAGACAGGAGGTCCTGGTGAACGGGGGAGGAAAGGGAGAGAAAGCAGACACAAATGAATTTGAAGCGGAAGCATGCTGGTTAGTTTGCTCACACGTGAAACACAGATGAAGAGCTTACATTGATACCGAGCTGTCTGTGTGTGGTGGGGCCACTGTCCCTCTTCAGCTGCTCAGATAGATGGATTCCCTTTGTGCGGAAGTTGGTGTTGGTGGCATTATCAGCTTTGGGCTTCGTCTTTCCCACCTTTAACTTGACCTTCTGGAAGTCATCCTGCCTCTTCTTCTTCTTGGACTTCATATCTGCTTTCTATGACGTTACTGATGAGGGGAAAGGGTGGAACTGAATGAGCGCACTGATTTCGGTAAGAAACTGGAACTGGAGAAGCATTAAAACACACATTTGTGCTGCACAAACAGCACAAACTGCTCGATTTTAGTCACAACAGGAACAGATGCACCAATATAACGTGAGCTCAGTCAGATAGCTTGTAGCTAAGTGTCTCGCAGCCTGGTTCAGCATCAATATGACAGCTCTTCATGTCGCTTACCACAGAAAAAGGTCTTGTCTTCTACCGTCAGAGGTCAGTGCGGCATTAAAACACCCACTGCTTGTCTAGAGCTGAAGAGTAGCCCCCCTGATAATTATCAATACATGTAAAATATTCTAGGTTCAATCTCGTGCTGCAGCGTCGGGTCCTCAGTGTGTGTACATGTTTACAAGCCTCGTTAGATGTGTCGAGCTCACCGTCCGCGGGGCTTACAGTATAATAATATAAAGATATTTTATTTTTAATTGTTTTCAATATTTTATGCAACCACTTTTAATTTAAAATAACAAAACATAAACGCTGCCCCCAAGTGTCCTGGGAGATATTTGTAATACCTGTTCCGTTTGTTGCAGCAGGTTATTACGGTAGACCCCGGTGTACAAAACCAACGCACTGTATAGTTGCCCGCACAAGTGCCTTAGAAAAATTAACGTATTAATTTCTTATGCCTGGCAAATTCCTAATTGAATGCGACACATTTTATTTAGTTTTTTTATATCAAAAAAAGCATATTTGGTTTTGATGTAAAGCGCAAAAATAAAATAGTTACATTTTGTGAACTGGCGAAAAGCACTGCTACCAATTCTCCCCGAAGCGGCCGTCGGCATTGTTGTCTGCTAGCTGCTAGCTGAACTTGTGGTTGGAGCAATTCGCAGTTTGCATTAAATATCTTTGGTAGGGTAGGTAATATATTAACTTACTGGTTTTCAAGTGGAGACACATCAGATATTTGGAGTTTGGACTATATTATAGTACTATAGTATTTTGAGCTATCGTAATAATGTCGCTCAGCTGGGCCTGAAATGAAACCACACAAGTAAAACGAAAGTTAAACTAGATCATAACGTACTAAACACTGAGAATATCTCTATCTTTAAGGGGAGTTACTTGGCATGTGGATGAATTTTTTATACGGTCTCCTTCTTTATCCCACAGTGGAGAAACTGAGGAAATGGAGGCTCAGGCTTCAATCAACCATCCTCCACTAAAAAATGGGCCGCAGCCGAATCAGAGGAGAAATGCGAGGGTGAGTGTCACTTTGAGGCTTTACTTCAGCACCACAGTCGACACACTATCCATAACTAAAAACACCACAGCTAAAAGTACACCTGCATTGCCTCACATGTATGGTGCTGATCGTCCATGAAGGAATCGTGATTTCCTTCTGATATTTCCATATTATTGATATTGTACACTGGCTGTTGTGATGATGTTGTTGTTGTTGTTGTTGTTGTTGTGCCTGATGGAGAGAGCCAGGCGGCAGCAGTCCAGGTGGACTTGGTGCCAGCCTCTGTGCTCTCAGGCCTGGTTGTGTTTGTGCTGTGGTTTATGAAGAAGACCCCACTCAGTGGTCTGGACCTCACACCTGTGGCCTGTTGTCACTGTTGTGGTTTAAAGGAATTTCTTTCTTCTCAGATTTGACATTGAGCTTTATGTGTGATGTGAACTTGGTTCTCTGAACCAATGTGTAATGGCAGGCTACGTGGGTTTTACTTATGAGTGAGTGCTGTCATGCTCAAAACCAAAAAGACTTCATTTCTAGCTTCAAAATGTTCTTTTTAAAAGTTACTTGCATTTTTACATAATATATAAATAAGCTGCAAAACAGACTATTACTGCATTGATAACTACACACTAATAAAACCCAGTCCCATACATCCCATTGTTAAACTTTATAATCACCTGACTGAATTTGCTGTATAAGTTAATTCATAAAATGCACAAGGGAATTTTAATTTATATTCAGATATTTTACTTTTATGATCTACATGCAGCATTTGAATTTCCCTTGTGACTTGCTGCTTGTTTCTGTCTACTATCTCCTTCGCTTGTCTGTTACTAGGCTTGATGAAAGGGTATGTTTGGGAGTTTTATTGTTTAACAGGTGCCTTCAGTCGAATGGTTGGGCTGAGGGCACAAATCTAGCTGGAGCTAGCTCCATGTTTTTATATATTTAAAACTGACACCACTTTCTTTGCTCTTTCTGAAAAGGGGCTGAATGTTTAGTTGTTATCGCATCATTTGTGTTTGCTGTTTTTATCTGTCAAACCTTGATTCAGGGCTCCCAAACACAGCTCGCTGGGTGTGAGGCCACAATACACAGTGGTAGAAGAGCAAAGATTTGGTCTCTCATTCTCCTGGGAATGTACTGAGGTCTTGACCTCAGTGTTCTTTTAATGTGGCCCCTGTTGACATTTGTGCATATTGAACTTTTGTATTTTAGCCTTTATTCAGTATATCAACTCTTTCTCTTTCTTCCATATTAAATAAGTAATGAAGTGTTGCTGTTCTACATTCTCATTTATGAGAATTTAGACTAATAACCAGACTACATCATTTAGACCACTTATACACTTGTCTCTGTGACTGTCGCTGCTTGACGCAGGGATCATGGAGAATGAGGAAATGCTCTATGGCATATATAGTGTGGCGGACATGGACGAGGAGTTCAGTCCTCTGCTAAGTGTCATCCTGTCACTAATGCCTGTATGTGTCTCTCTCCTTCATGTGGGTTTATTCCCTCCATTGACAGAGAAAGCAGCCGCAGCATTCTGCTGATATAGGTAAGTCCTTTATATACGGTGCCACTGTCAGCGCTGAGAGTTGAAGCTTGAGATCTTGACTTCCTTGCTTCATGTCATGGGTGGAGTTGTGTTCACCACTCTTTCAGACTTACACTCTCAGAGATGAAGGCTGTTGTGGTGCCATCTATGGTTTTGGTCTTTGGACATCAGTGTTTGCCACTGCAGAAATAGTCTTGCAGAACATTTCCAGTATCTTGCCACAACTTTACTTTTTAGAAAATCCAATTTTCAACATTGAGAACATTGAAAAATATACTGAACAATTTTAGAAATGCCAACTCATTCTCTTAAGATGTTGCTACATTGAAGACCAGCACCATAAGCTCCATAAGTCTTTAGTGACACCTATATGGTCTCAAAACGGCGGGACATACAGTGGTACAGCCATGCATCTGCGATGGTTGCTGATAAACTTTTAATGCACTTTTTGTGCTGTGATCGTTGTACTGTTTTTTTGTTTTTGTTTTTCCCAATAAAATATTTTTAATACTGCTAAATGCAGTATTATTTTTTTTATTCAGTTGCCTGTGCTACACTGGCTCGAGTCATAATGTGCTGTATTACATTATTTCTTAATACAAGTATACCTTACCTGCCTACTAGAGTATTTTATTTGCGTTCACAGTTGGACTGCTTCATTAGTGCGACACAGGAGTGATACTTCTGTGGTTGGGCACAATGAGAAGTGATGAATTTTAGGAGTTGGTGTACTGCAGCCCAGTTCGGGTCTAATTGGGGGGTTAGCCGAGAACTGCCGTTTCCGTCTTCCCCCAGGCTTCAAAAGCACACATGAGGAGTTTGGGTTTCTTATGGTTGTTCAGTTATTCTAGACAGAATAAATTGGCCATCAGAGACTGCTGGTAGTGTAAGAACACAACACACTGTCTTAACCTCAGTGTCTTCTTTACTAGGATTATTACGATTACAGCTTTCTCGCCAGAAATTTGTAAGGAAGTGGCTCATTGAACTAGTTTGTTGGACCTTGTTGTCTCACTCATAAGTTGTGAACCATTATAAAGCTTTTGCTTTGTGCTGACCACTGTTGTGTTTTCCCAGTATTCACCAAAGGGACATCCATACAGACCTTGCCCTCTCTCAGCAAACAGTTGAAGGGGGTCACAGAGTGTATCATTGGTAAGCAGGGGTCCATTTCCACATACATCAACGTAACCTCCTTCTCTTCCTATATATAAATGCATAACCAATGATCATCATGTGTCTGCAGGTCTTCAGTATGTGTGGGAGTACCGCAGTCCCAGTAAATCTGTCCCACCACACTACCAGTGCAAACTCTGTGCCGTCTCCCGCCTGCAGCATGATATGCTTGCCCACGTCAAAGGCTGGAAACACAGCTTCAGATACTTGGTGAGTATTGTTTCTCAGTCTGTTTAAAAAACGTGACTTTGCAAGTTATTTGTAATATTCACACATGTATCTGCCTTATACACAGAAAAAGGCCCATGCTGACAAGGTCACCCAAGAAGAAGAAGAGGCCATCAAAGACCCTGCTGTAAGGAAGGCAATTAAAGAGGTTGCAGCTGAGGTGGAGAAGACAGAGGGGAGGGGACAACTCAAGGTGAGTGTTGGGGCTCATATCACTGGAGCAGTGGGTCAAAAAAGGATTGTGATATTGGCTTGATTGTCGTTCTTATAATGATAACTGTGCATTAATGTCTCTGGTGAAGAGGTGCTTTGGCTTAGAGATGTTGCTACACGTACTGGTGAAGATCAAATGTGATCTAGGAGGTCCAGTTTAAGTGCTACATCCACAAACTTGACGCCTTAAGCACCAAAACACTGCAAAGTGGTTTATATTTCTATGAGGCAGGATGTCAAAACTGAGCCCCCACTTTCTCATCGAAATGAATGAGAAGGCGGTGGTTTCTTCGAAGCAATGCTATGATCAGTCAGAACATTCCTAAAAATGGATTTCACATTTTTCTCTTTTGGCTTTTAGGTGATTCTGAAGGAACCCTGTGAAGTACCTGCTTTCAAAGGACTCCGTAAGTTGCTGTGTAGTGATTTAGTTTAGTAATAAAGGATTTGCTGTTGGTTGGTTACTTGAGTCTTGAAAGTCTCATATGTCCTGTCCTCTCTCAGGTTCTGCTGCTCCTAAGGTTATGCCTCCACCAGCACCAGGGATGGGACTAAAGGGACCGCCATTTGGTGAGTCATTTTTATTATTGAAGCATAATCTGTGTAATAGTGTGCATGTATGCCCTTTTCTATGTAATTACTGTTTGTGTATTTAAATAATGTAGTAAATGAATATGTCAATCTCACAGGTCCGAGGTTCTCCGACCCGAGGTTTCCAGGGGAGTTTCCTCCTCAGGGTGGTCCTCTCTCTGACTATCCAGCTGGAGACTATGGGGAGACTGGCTTTGGAGGCTACTCGACCAGGCAACATTTCCATGACTCTGGTATGGATAGAAGACCTTTCCCAGATGGTATGGGTCATCGCCCAGCTGGAGATGTTTTTGGACCAGGTGGTGGAAGAGATGGCTATGGAAGGAGTGGAGTACTGGAGCAGACCCCAGGCAGAATGTATCCTGATGAATACCGGGGCAGCCAAATGGGGAGAGGCTTAATGGACAGACCAGTGGACAAGCCACTGGACAGGCAACTGGACAGGCCACTGGACAGGCCAGGCCTAATGGGGCCAGCTCCAGAGAGTAGCAGCCATCCTAATGCACTACTCACTTACCTGGTATGTCTCCTTCTAATTTCTCTCTAACTTACCAAACATATTTGGTTAAATTACTCACATTTGCATTTAAACATACAGTAACTTGTCAAAATGTATTTTTAGGATACTTTCCGGATAGAGAATGAGAGTGACGCACAGCTGGTGCTGAAGGTGACACAGAAACTAACAGATGTGCTGATGGAGTACAGGCTGAGGAGCGTATCGGCGGTAAGGAGCTTGATTATACAAAAAACAATCCTGTCGTCATATCTTGAATTTAAAATCAAATGTTAAAGACAACTCTTGCGTAGTTGTAATTTAATTTAGAATATTATAGTATCAGTCACTCTGATTTTCAGTTGTTTTAACTCATTATTTAAAGTCTATTTGGTACCATGTGCATTGTCTCTTCCTAAATGTTCTGTCTTCTCTGTTTCCTCCTCAGGGTTCTAGTCTTAATAGCTTGTCCATGAGCTCCACAAGCTTCTCCTCCACACCCTCCAGATTGTCAAACAGTAGCGACCGATACTCAAGTAGTCTCTCAGGTATGTCAGTCTCCTCTCAAACTTTCCATCTGAAGCATCTCAAATGTCAAACAGTCATGTAAGTATATAGTGTAGAGCTGTTAATAATCTCAAAAATGAAATGTCACGCTATTGACAAGCCAACCGCAGGGGATGGCAAGCCACAGCCAGAGCTTCACGTTACATCACATTATCACATCGTTTCCAGTGTATGTTTTTTAAGATGGGAAAGCGTCCCCAAGAGGCTAGGCTGAAGAGACTTGACACAGCAGTGCTGCTCAGCATCCCTCAATTCACAGCCCAGGATTACATTACCACACAGGAGAAAGTTATGCAGCCTTTGCCTCACTGGCTCTGAATCGAAACACCAGGGGCCAGATGCAACTCTTGAGATTCGTGACTAAAACTGTGTATCTCAACTTATATCTCATGTCCACCTTATCATTTCACCCGCAGTTATCTCTTGAAACTGTGCGTACGCCTGGTTTCAAGTATGTGGGAGGTGTGCATTCTCTCTGCACATTAGTCTTGTAGTAGAAAAACGGACTGGTCCCGATTATTCCAGTACACTATGGCTGAGGGGTAATGGTATTTTTTGGCTGGAAGATGCAAAAGAAAATTCTTTTGCTCAGATTTAAAATCGCATTGAAGTCAAAATGTGAGTGAGACACCTTTCTTTGCTGCCCTTTGTGTTTACTGTTCACATTGTCTCCCTGCAGGTCCATCCAGATACTCTGACGGTCCATCCTCATATTACAAATGACCATCACAAGATGTCACACCTCGATCTTCTCATCGCTGTCTTACATGCGCATCAGACAGAACTGTCCAGGAGTTCAAAACTATTGATTTTATGTAAATTTTTATGCTTCTAGATATAGTTTTTTCTGTTGCTACTTAGTAGTCTTTTTTAATGTCTTTGACTTGGAAAGTTTTACACAAAATCACGTGCATGTTTAACTGATCATAAGTGTGTGGCCACTGTGAGTTTCCCAAGGTCCAATTTTATTAAAAGTTATAGAGAAACATTTGTGTGTGTGTTTGTGTGTGTGTGTGTTAGAACCTGAAATCGTTCAATCCGAATGTGACTGCAACTTCCTTCTTTAGAACATGTTCTTCAGTTCTTATGCTACATAGACAATAATGGAGGATGCCCCAATAGGTTCTGAATGCAGTCCCAGAACTGTTCCGAGACACTTTCAACTTTCAGTGAATGCATCAAATAACTTGAAGCATCCCATGATTACGGTGTAAAACATATCTATACATTTCCTCCTGGCTGTACAGTTGAGGTTGATTCCGACATAAAAAGCTCCCAGCAGTTTCTAAGTGAATCCTGTTCAGAGATGTAGCCATACACCGTCAGATCACTGCGGATTTTCACTTGGAAGCTCTCTTGGTTTAATAAATGGGCCATAGATCAGAGTAAAAAATAAAATTTATTTTTAAATGTACAGAGCATTTACAGAGGAAGTGTATGATTATTGAGTATGATGAAAACATTAAATAACTGAGTAAGTACAGTAGGAAGACAAAATTGATTGGAAAATAAAGATCTCAGAATCAGTCTTTGGCTTCGGTGTCTGCATTCAAACATTTCTTGCCAAGATGTCCTCCATCTGCTTCACATTTATGCAGGTAAGAAGCACTTTAGCCCCCAGGAAGTCCTGACCATGGAGCCTTTGAGCCAGTGCAGCGACCTTCTGTGATTTAAAGTGAACCACAGCCTCACCAATACCCTTGCCGTCAGCGTCAAGCAGTAAGGTGATACTGTGTTTTTTAAGTCCGAATCTGCGGAAAAGGCTTTTAATTTGGTTTTTCTGTACATTTGCGGGCATGTTGCTGACAAACAGGTATGTCTGAGCTGCTGGGTCCATGTTCTTCCTCTGTGCTACCAATGACTCATCTGGTCCTGATTTTCTTTTTCGACTTGGTTTCTTCATTGCGTCTGGAAAAAGATTCTTAGGATGGGCTTTGGCCATCATGTCCCTCATCATCTTCTTTGTTATTGATGAGACTTCAATGGCATCAGAGCCCACGTGGCAGCCATTGAGATTCATTGCATAGTCAAAATCCTCAACGCGGTTAAAAAAAAGAAATGCTGTGTCTGTTCGGTTGCCTTCCTTGTCAAGCAGATGTAGTACATTTTTGTGTGCAATGTTTGGACATCCAAGCAATTCTTTTATTTCAGTCTTTGTCATTGTTTTGGGTAGATTACTGACCATGACCGTGTAGTCCACAGTTGATGATAAGGCAGCAGTGGAGTCACCGTCAGATCTTGGCTTTTTGGGCGATTTAAATGACCGGCGGTTGCCATGATGTCTCTTGAGCCACGGTGCAGACGTGGATTTGTGTTTGTGGTTGGCAGTTTCCCTAAGAGGGCTTTGCCTGGGTTTCACTCTGTCCCCAACACCCAAAGCAGTCTCACATTCTTCCAGTGCACCGGTCCACATCTTCTCAGTGCCTCCACGTACCTCCACACTGATGGGACCCAGTGACTGTTGGTTGAAGAGAAGAGCTTTGCATGCATCCTGCTCGCTTGCGAACTTCACAAGGCAAGCGTGGCCAAGTCCCAACTTCACATTCACTATGACTTCCTGTACCGTCAACCCTCTGAAAAAACGGCTGATGACCTCTTTTGTAGCAGAAGCTGGCAGACCGAAGAGCCTGACGTAGCCTGGTTTTGAGTTCAGAGTTTGCTCTGGTCTCCACACTTGATCAGACACAACTGTGCTTTCAGTCTCAGGGAAACCAACTCTTGGCACTGCTTCATTGTTTTCTGTTTGTTGGGACGACTGGAGACCTTGAAGTATCGTACAAATCCCGAGAAGAAAAGCAGTACTGGAATCAATTGCATTTGAATCTTGTGGGTTTGACGTTTCTGGATGAGGAAGGTTTTCAGTGTTGGGATTAGTCGTCCTTCCAGTAGGTGATTGACTAGAAGTATTTGGAGTTTGAGACAATCCATTTAAAGGTAGCGGATTTGCATCTGGAGATAGATGGGGTCTCTTGGCAGTGAGCTGCGTGGGGGAGGGTTTCTTTCTCTTTAACATGGACTTTAATTTTTGCTCCAGCTCGTCCATGCTGCTTATGTGCAGAGTCACCATTGACCCTTTGAGAAAATTGCCAGTGAAGCGCATGGCAAGCTGGGCATCTTTCTCAGTGGTGAATGCAATGAAAGCTTCTCTGAGACTTCCTCCCACTATGTACACTCCACCGTCGGGTATGTGAAGGCATTCAAAGAAAGTCCGTATATCTTCAGTACCTGCCTTCACATCGAGGCCTTGCATTCGCAGGATTATGGTCATGTTTCATACCAGGTCAGGCGGGTGTCTGAAAATTAAGACAACAATGGTGAAAAACACACACACACACAC